CCCAAAATAATCACCCATGCATATTGAGGATTGAGAAGTGATGCAATTAATATGTAAAGAAATTGCTCTGGTGAAAGTGGTGTGGGGAGGATCTGCTGGAGGGAGCATTACGTGGGAGCTGGAGAGCCGGGTGAGAGAGTCTTATCTGGAGCTATTTTCGTTAGGTAATTTTTGAGGGAGAAAATCCTTTTAAGTGGGTGAGAGTTGTAACAATCCAACTTTATTTTATTAATTTATTTAAATTATTAGATTTAATTGAGAAAATATATATGTCTTGCTTAAATTGTTGTTGTTATTTGTTATTTCATGTGTTTTATGAGATTTAAAGATATTTTAGTAATTTAATAAATAATAAAAATATAGCGTATTGAGAGCGGAGTAATAAAACAAAATTATTTTAGAAATAATTAGATATTTTAATTATTTAGAGATGATTATAGAAGTTATCATATTAAATAGAAAATAAATATTTTATAGTTAATATATATTTTAGATTGTTTATTAAATAATAATTTAATGAGATTTTATTTAAATTAAATTAGTATGGGCAGACTCAACTCTATTAATTGTTGTATTTTCAAGGTGTCTAACATTATCAGTCCCGCACAAACTATCTTCTCCTTCACCTGGTCAAGAATTATCTTTTCAACATTTTTCAACATATCTGAATATTTTTCACACGCTTTCCTGAAATGAATAACGGAATCGACATATAGTTCTTTTATGGAAGAATTTATTATACAATATCATGCATCAATTATTTTTTCCACAACCACACTTGCCTTCACCAATTTTCCACCTTCGGACTCTATTTGTTTCGTCCCTATCGCGGGTTTAACCCGACTTCTCATATTCTTTGTTATGTGATACTTGCAAAATAATGCATACGAAAAAATAAATACCTTTGCAACCGAATTCATCAATACGATATCACGATCGGTAGCAAACACTTTAGGCATCTCACCTTGGACCTTCAAAAGTGACTAACACACCTCTAATGCCCAAGTAAAATTGTCCTCTTTTCACACTCAAGAAATGCAAAACCAATAGAATATGTCTTCTCAGTTGAGGTAACACGAACCATCTCAAATAATGGAAGTATATACTTGTTAGTCTTGTAGGTTGAATCAAGTATGAGCATCGTAGGAAACATGTTGAACAACTTTATGGAATCAAGATGAGTCCAAAAAGTATCTTTAATAGTAACTTCATCATCGCATGTTCGGTACATAGACAAGTAATTGTTATCATCCAACAGTTTCGAGAGTTGTTGCATCTCAGTTCTATCCCCCCTAAGCGCCTTGTTAGTGAGATACCGAATATTATACACTTTCTTGATATTTGATATATTATCAGATCGTTTCTATTTCAAATTGCAAGTATATTTTTCGGTTGAACAAGATTCAAGGTCATGTCAGCAATACATTTTTTCTCTTCTGGTTTGAGCCGACAGACAGTAGGATGACCAGCTAATTTTAAATACAAATCATGGTTATGCAAACCACATATCACATTAAATCTCCAATTTTTGTTTGCCAACATGTAGCCACGAACCTTAAACGTATAATCACATTTTGTTGTGCTGATGTCGTCTCTTTTAAAATTCTAGAGAGGAGTTCGATATTTCTCGCTTCTTTCGCACGTCATTGTTACAAATGCGCATCTTCTATATGAACCATTACCAAAACTTCCAATAACCACACCAAATCCAAGTTTAGAGACCTTCATACGAGTACATTCAAGCATTTGATCACGAGATTCAAACTCTTGCTTATTTTTAAAGTCGTTGGCAACATCTACCGCCTTCACAATAACACCTTGAACATTCAGAGAAACAATCACTCCTTGGACATTCAGAGAAAGAACTTATTATGGTAAAACATCGGGGTGCACCATATCTAATGAAAATAATTAAAACAATAACAGAACATAAGGTGAACACTGTTGCAGAGTGTCTGCAAAAATAAACACAAACAACTTCCAGAAATGCATCTTCGGACAAGTTCATACACGTTCTAGAGATATGTTTTTGGACGCAGTGTAACTTTCTTTCAGAAAAAATTAATGATTAATATGAGAAATACAGAGGAAAAAGAACAATTTTTACCTGAAATTCTATCATCATTTCCTCCGTGTGATATGTTGAACCAAAAGGATGAAGATTTGGAGTGAAAAAATAGATTGAGAATGAAGGATTTTTAGGGTGAAGAGTTTGGTTGAAAAACCAAGTATGTCAACAATGGAGGAGTGATCATGCATCTGAATTCTATATCAAAATTTCCAGAGATGCATCTTCAAAAATACTTGACATTCAAAGGTGACGGAAAATTTCAATATGCCGCCCATAATTCTGGAGATGCATCTCCAAAACATCTATTGAACTAAACAATTAAAATGTTTTTCTTAAAATATTCCAGAGACACATTTCCGGAATAAAAATAACCCAATATATAAAACGACTCTTAGAATACTCTTTGTTAAATGTACAAGAGATGTGTTTGAAAATACATCTCTAAAAACTAGTGGCATTTAAAGAAATTCATGTAATACATTAAAAAAAGTCTATGGTGTATTAAGATATTCTCAATAATCTAATACGAGCGGCCCAACTCATGGAGAGGCAAACTAGGCAATTATATAGGACCTCATATTCTTCCAATCATATCATATATAATATAAATGCTTCACGTTGGTATTAGGATTATCATTATCTTACTTTCCTATAAAATAACAATGAATATGCCTAAAAATATAGTAGTATGTAATTAGACTAGCAACTCTTGTTTTTCCTTTTATTTTATATAGAGTTTAATTTTACTATTTACTCATTTATTTTATAAAAATATAATGGACTGATGGTATTTTTACTTATATAAAAAAAGACACTTATTAGTTTAAATCTATAGTATTACTTACTCAGCGATGTTAATAATTTTTATAAATGTTATGTTTTAAAAAAAAAGACTTATTTAAATTGAAGTTAATAAAATATTATTTTAATACCAACAAATCATAATAAAAGTTAAATGAATTGTTTTTATTATTAATATAATTAACTAAAATTAGTTATAATAATTTAATAAATAATTCTTTTCTGTAAAGTAAAATTTTAATTAAAAATATAATTATTAACAAATAAAATTTTGTTTTAAAATTTGTCTCGGGCCTCAATATGTATTGGGCCGGCCCTAGTCAAAACTCGAAATTAAATATTTTACTTATTAATTTTGCGTACAATATCAAATCGCTTTTGTCGGTTTGTCTGTAGAACCAAAATTTTATTCTCATAAACTTGGATTGACTTAAAACAATGCATGAGGTGATGAAAACATATGAAATGCAATCAACTCAATTTTTGAATCTAAGACGAATTGAAAGTTGACTGATTGTCGACTTTTCCTGAACACATGCGAATTGTTTAATGAATGAATGTTTGAAGAAAAATTGAGGCATAGATGTGTTCAATATGTTGGCTGATTTTTGAGTTTATGAGTAATAATACAACTTTACTCAGTTGTTGTTAATTTTTTAGTTATAATATAATTAATAAAATTAATTATAGGAACATGTTTGAGTTAAGTAATTCAGAGAAATTACAATGTGACATGATAATTGGCGAACTTATGGATGGTTCAAGAGAGAAACATGTTTGAGTATAAAATTTTGAGAATGATTTTGGTTATTGTTTGAGTTCTATTATTATTTTCTGCTATAATCATGCACACGCGCGCGCACGCACACACACAAATATATATATATATATATATATATATATATATATATATATATATATATATATATATATATATATATATATATATATATATATATAATCAGTAATACACCTCTAATGCCTAAAAAGCTCGGTACCACATGCATATTAGAGGAGAAGTTGGTGTATTTCGCATTTGCATTATAAATTATATTGTTGTTGTTGCTGTGTGAGAATGATCTATATATTTTTATAATTGTCCGTCAGTTTACTTTCACTGCTAACCTTTGTAAGGATTATTCTCACCCTTTTTCTGCTTGCGTGTGGCTTTTATGTCCATATTGCAGATACAAGTAGCATGCAATATTGTTGTGTTTAAGAATGACAATCATTGTCTTCTTCTTTGTTTTTCTGTTTGGTCTAGTACCCTTTGTGCCGCTCTAGTATTGTAAAACAGATGATGAAACATTATTTCTTTTTTTGTGTGGAGAATTACCGTGTTTATTTCAAAAATTGATGTTATTTTAGTAATTTCATTTGATGAGACTATGTGAAGGTGTTATTGAATATTTCGTTTTTCCACTGCAAGTTGTTCAATTTAATAACATGTGTTTTATTTGAAAATGTGTGACACTCTTTTTCCTGAAAATATACTTTGAATTATTGTATTATTTTGTGAGTCGAGAATTAGAGTGTTACATGGTGTCCTCCGAGAGTCCAAGATCAACAAGAAGTTTCATCTCATTAAAGTACACACATGTCATGACTGAATAACAAAGCACGATATTAATAGATCAACAAAACATAATATAACCAAAAACCGTTGTCAATACGTCACGATATTAATAGTTCAACAAAACATGTCATATAAGTGCAAACTAGAAATGGGAGAATGAAAATGAAAATGACAATGATGACTATCATTCAAGAGTAAACTAAGTGAAATTACAGTTTAGGTAGATTTTTCTGTAAATAAATAAATAAATAAATAAATATATATATATATATATATATATATATATATATATATATATATATATATATATATATATATATATATATATATATATATATATATATATATATATATATATATATATATATATATATATATATATATATATATATATATATATATATATATATATATATATATATATATATATATATATATATATATATATATATATATATATATATATATATATATATATATATATATATATTTCGAAGTGATAATCTCTAAGAGTTTGAAGTCATTTCTTATACATTTAAATTTTCAATTTCGTTACCATGATCCTTCGGCGCCAGCTGTGGGATTTTTGAAAGCAGAGAACTCCCAGTATGTTTTTAATGAGTATGGTGGAAACATAGTTACACCTTCTTCAGTCATTCTAGCCATCTGTAAATTCAACATAATAGATTCATTAAATGTGAAAACCAATAAATAAGAAATAACCCACTTACTTCAAGGAAAATCGGACCTGTATTTTGTTGACAGCGGACCTATCGCGATATAAAAGCGTACGCATGCATTTTTCCAGTAACTTGACACCTTCCTGAAAGCTCAAATTTTCCTGCCATTCGTCACGGAGATGGGGCACAGCAAGAAGATTTCCTAGTCCAGTAGCTATGTGATTGTCTTCAAAATTAATTCCAATATTATTGACCTGGATAAGATTCATAAGCACAACAACCAAATAAACTTGCAGATTTGAGACTACTCATTGTTGAACAAAGTAAAAAAGAAAAGCCAATGCCTACCACGCCAAGGTACTTTTGACCATTCTTCACACCACCAAGTACAAGGGAGTTCAACAAAGGGTCGAACTTGTTACGCCTATTATACATCACCCGAGTTAAATAGTTGTGCACCTCCTTAGGCCCTAGAGAGTTCCCGTCATCCCAAATATTGTCATTGAGACTACAGCAGTCAAAATTCAAAATCAACACTAACATGGTAACAATGAAGTAATCAAATCTGAAACAATTGAGGAGGGGGGTACACAGATGAATTCGTTTTTGTGAAGTTTGAAGAAAATAAAATGAAAAATCAAGCAAAAGCAAAAAAAAAATTGACTAATCAAATTCTACTGTCTTTATCTTATGAGAAATAACCAAAGGCTTACATAAGCTCGTCGAGGTAACGTTGAATCTCTTGAAAATCACTTATTTCTCCACCGGCACCAATAAGGGAATGTTTCCCAACAGTCTTTAACCGCTCAACACTCTTGTATCGCAGAGTAGAGCCATAGGAACCTATCAGTACATCCACCAATGACATAATACACAAAGTGGACCCATTATTTTCCAAAAGGAGTTTGAACTTCAAATTCATTACACATTAACACAAGATAACACAAATATGATTCATATATTATTACTAGTTTAATACTAAAACAAGAACTTCAAGGAATCACAACTTACCAAGGGTATATAATCCATGATAAAATATTTCCTTTACAGCAAAATAATTGAAAACAAAACAAAACAATTGAAACATTCAATTCTAACAAATAAGCTAAGACTAACTCAAACTAACACAACCATTTTTTGGGCCTTAATACTCAAATTCCTAGGAAAAAGACAAATAAAGTCCAACTAATTAAGATTATGGTTAGATATCATAAATGAATGAAGCAGAATGGAGCAGACTAGAGTAGAATATGAAGATTTCACTCCATCATTTGAAAATTTTAAGACAGAACATGGCAAATTATCCATTCTGTCCCAATCGGAGAGGAATAAATGGAATCCATACCACTCCATTCTGATCCGCTCCATTCCATTTTAAATGATTCAAATAATTGAATATCACAATTCCATCCCATACCGTTGCGCCCCATCCGATTCCATACATCAAACTCCGGTTAATTCAACCTAAAACTAAATAAAACTTATTAACCACTTGTGCTCAACCACTCCATTAATTAACACAACAATTTGATACTAAATATCAAAAACAATTATGGATTTATTGAGATACACAGACTAACTCTGCAATCTATTTTTTAAAACAAAAAATAAAATTGGGTTTATAGTAATCAATGCTGCATAAGAGAAATATGTAAAGTAGGGTTTGAAATAGCATCAGCATTTGGTTCTAACCTCCCATATCAGCAGCCATGAGAATCCCATCTTTGTATTTGATTGCAACCACAGATGATCCGGTAACATACGGGGTCCTAAAGTTCAAAGTAAAATTCAGGTCAAATTCAACAAGAATTAAAAGCGAGTTTACCATGAACAAAAATTGAAAAACACACGAGCAAGCACGCACGCATCAATGAAGGTATTAGAGAGAGAAAGAAATACAGAGTTTGCTGAGATTCTGCTACAGAGTCCGTTGTTTGAATTTTCATCTGAAAAACTTCAAAGAACGGGAGAATGAATGAATGCTTGAGAGCTATGAGATTGAATTGGTTTGCTGAAAATGAAGAGAAAAAGTGCTTCTGTTTTGCTGTTAATATGAGAATTTTTCTCTCTTGTTTTCCCTTTGCGCAAGAAAACTATTTTTTTCTTTTTTAAAAAAATAAATTAATAAATATAAAATGGGCTGAAATTAAAGCCTGTGGAGTTTTTTTGGTTTGGATGCTGACCCTTGATTTAAGGCTTAATACCATAATGAGGTTGCTAAAAACATCTTATGGATTGCTACTATAACCTTTTGAAAAAATTAAAATATTTCTAGAACTCGAAGATATATATATTCAAAACAAAAATGTTTTAGCCTCAAGCCTCAAGCCCCTAGGCTGTGTTAAAAAAATTACCGAGATGCATTTTCGTGAAGATTCAACGTTTAGATTGTACGTTACTTATTTTCAGAGATGCATATCCAAACGATATTCAATCAAAAGGGCTCTAGGACCCGTTATCCTTTCTCACTTTTTATAATACTCTCAAATTCTCCAACACTTATCTCTCAAAATCTATTAACTCACATTCACTCAAAATTATTCAAGACACTTCTGAATCTTCTTCCATCAACATCAAAACGATCAAAGAACTCATTCAACATTAAACTCCAGTCACATTTGGTAAGTTTTTTTTTCTAAAGATTTTTCATTCTCTATCAACATATGTAGAAATTGAGCATTAGATTATATAATAGGTCGTTTAGATATGTCATTTACATTAACAATGTGTTTGATGTGTTATCGAAAAATACATTATTTTGGTTGTTGGGTCAAATTGCATGTTCACCACGAGATCTCTATAAAGTTGCAACGTATTTTCTAGAAATTGGAGATGCATCTTCAGAATTTGTCTATCTTCATTTTTTTTCTTGATCTAATACGTTTCATCTAATGGTTGCGTGTTTTTATTTTAGGCATTATGGCTGATAGACAAGATAGATTGAGGCACGACAGAGCTGTGCAACATGCATTAGTTCGGAGGGGAAAATTCCAAGCTTCCCAAACACCTATTGTTTCAAGACCAGTCATTCTAGAGGCGTCGATTTTTATGGGTTCGACATCTAGGGCTCGTGCATCTTTGGCTACGTCATCCCGTAGGAGATATGTGTTACCTACTAATGCACTAGAGGCACCCGAAGCCCTACAGGAGGCACTCGAGACCCGTAGAAGGCACCTGAGGCCCCGCAGGTGTTTGGAGGAGGAGAGGAAAAGGTTGAAGATATAATTGTTATTAAGTTGGTAGAGGAAATGAATAAGTGCATTCAGGAGAAATGTCGGAGGATGCGAATGAAGGAGCAGGAAAGGGTGTTGCAAGAGGAGAGTGAGAGGTTGTTGCAGCAAGTGTGGGAACGGGTCTAGAAGGAGCAAGAGGAGCGAGAGAGGTTGGATGAGGTGAATAAAAATAAGGCGAATGATGAGGAGTATGGGAGGATATTCATGAAATGTGCCCACAATGTGCTTAAGGTATAAATATAAGTTAAAAAAAATTGTGTTGTACGTTGTTGCTATTATTGTTTGCGTTTTAATTTTCATATTGTATTTCTATTATTTTCATGATGCAGACATTGAGTACATTGAGTTTACTCAACCAAACAAATCCAAATCAGGTGGACATTTAAGAGGGATTAATTGAGAAACTAATGGGTGGTACAAGCACAAAAGAAAGTTATTCTACCCACCAGGACAATATTGAAACCATACCACAACAACTAGATAACATTAAGAGATTATCAATGATAGTAAAGATTCTTCCCAATCTCTGCCAGAATATTATATTAAGTCATGTTCTAGATCATTATTACATATTTCTTGGGTCTTCTATTATAGAATTTTTGAAGGGGACAATGGATAGACATTACCATAGTACAAATGTGGTGCTCGTAAGTATAATTTTTACATTGATCATTTATATTTATATTCATACGTTCTCATATTATAATAATAAACATTTGACTCTTGTAGGTGCTTGAATGAGATGTATGTTGAAAGAGATTTAAGAAAGTATTGTTTCATAGATCTATTGGAACTGGTTTGGTGGAAACCAGGTGATTTGTGAGCTTTTGATGAATTTTGGACAGTTGGGGTTTTGAACATCGTAGACGTTCGCTAGGCGAGCAGGTCGCGAGTATTCGCTAGGCGAGCTAGCAACGAGCTAGTAGCAAATGGTCCCAGACTTGGACAGAATGGAAATGACTCTCTTCGCTGGTAGCGAGGGGTTCGCTAGGCGAAACTCCAGCGAGTAGGTAGCGAGCACTTACAATAGCTTCTGTTTGTCTTCGCGAGCTTGTTCGCTAGGCGAATTGATAGCGAGCATTCGCTAGGAACTCGCTAGGCGAGCAAGCTAGCGAGCGTGATAGCATTCTTATTTCTTTGTGATTCCATCTAATGTTGATTGTTTGGTTCGACTGTGTTCGATCCTTATCGGAAATAAATAGCTTGTGTGCTGTTGTGTGATATGTTGTGGGTAGCCGTATGGCGTGAATCCTAGATTGTGGAATCAATTGTGAAATGTAGCCTTTTGGCGTATATAATGCATTGTTTAAATTGATTGGAAATGCATGATAATTTGTGATGAGGTTTGTTGTCGTTTGACACGATATTGTGAATGCATATTGATTGTATGAGATTGTGTGTGAAGAATGCATGGGAACATATTAGTGAATATGTGTACATTGCTTGATAAATGTGGAGATGGTATTGAAATATGAATACTTTGATTTTATGAGATGTGTTGTGTGTGCAATCATGTTATAATTCTTGTGTGATGAATTATTTGAGAATGCATGGGATTAAGATGCGAGAACGGTCTTAAGTGCATTTGGTTGTTGATTGCATACGCATCATTTGGTCAAGAGGCAATGCTTGCTAGTTTCGTGGAGACTAGTGACTTGTCCCAAACCTAGAAGGGTGGGTTTGAAAGCTTAAAGAACGGGATTTTGTTGTTATTGATCTAGGGGACGGACCCGATTTAAATGTAAAAACCGAAAAATGATAACAAGTGTTGGTACCACATGGCATGAGTTGCATTGAGTTGCATTGAGTTACATGGCATAGATATCATTGTTATATGAAAGTATGCTTGTGTATGAATTGTTGAATTGAGGATTATGGATGTGTGTATGTCGAAACATGCTTGGTGATTATCCATATTTGTTTATACATATATTGTGATGTATACGATGATTATAATGAATTGTGGTGAGAAAATACGAAATATGTGTATTCTATGCCTGTGTGTATATATATATATATATATATATATATATATATATATATATATATATATATATATATATATATATATATATATATATATATATATATATATATATATATATATATATATATATATATATATATATATATATATATATATATATATGTATATATATATATATATGTATATATATATATATATATATATATATATATATATGTATATATATGTATATATATATATATATGTATATATATATATATATATGTATATATATATGTATATATATATATATATATATATATATATATATATGTATATATATATATATATATATATATATATATATATATATATATATGTATATATATATATATATATATATATATATATATATATATATATATATATATATATATATATATATATATATATATATATATATATATATATATATATATATATATATATATATATATATATATATATATATATATATATATATATATATATATATATATATATATATATATATATATATATATATATATATATATATATATATATATATATATATATATATATATATATATATATATATATATATATATATATATATATATATATTTGTGATACATTTGTATATGTATCTGCTGACAAATGTTATGTAAACATGAATGCTGTGGTGAATCAAACTGGATTATATGTATCTATATGATTATATGTTTAAGTGATTCAATGTTTAGATTTTCCGCTTTTATATTGAGATGTGGGTGTAAGGACTAAGTTCCTCTATTGAAAGCTACCCCACTGTTGCATGTCTTTTATAGAGCAGGTGTTGTATGTTTCAATTTTTGTGTATGATGTGACATACCTCTTTTATACCAAGTTTTACTTTTACTCTGATGAAATTTTAATATGTGCTTAAATGATTTACTTGATTATTTGGGGGTATAGAAGGGGGTGTTACACAATCAATTTGGGCTGGTGTCTTCTTATCTTGTCATAAATTTCAACAATAGTTTTTCTTTTATTATAAGCTGAATTTGTACATACAGAGGTTTTGACATTTTTCATGTGCAAAACTGTAACTTTTGTATTATGTGTTGATGACAACAATGTAAATTGTACATTTAATTTTGACACAATATAAATTTGTAATTCTGTATAAAAAAGGAATATCAATTTTGTTATTTGTTTCGAATTTGATATTTAGTAAAAAATATTATAGTTTCTCCATGTGTACTAAATGATACGGGTCTTCCAGTAAAATATCAAATCAAATTTGGTATTTTGTGTTACTTTGGTATTGTGTAACAACTTTATAATTTCTGCATGTGTACAAAACGATACAGGTATGTCAATAAAATGAGAATAAAACACACACACACACACACACACACACACACACACACACACACACACACACACACACACACACACACACACACACACACACACACACACACACACACACACAGCAATAAAATTGATTAAGTCCCTCGGTTAAAGTCAAAAATTGACATACAAAAATAGCTTATTATCTTGGTTATTGAATAAAACTGAGAGGTATGTTGCGCGCTAGTTAGTTTTGAAAATAAAAATATGTTGTTGCTAGGGATTGAACCATTGGCCTTTTGCATTTTATCCTCAACTTTATAAAAACCTAGGAGTAAAGTTTTCACTTTTCATGTTACCTTTCGTTACCTCGGCATTATGATTGAGGTGA